GTTTCAGCTGTGTGAAGACCCTATGTGAAGTTCTTTGGTGCAGGAAGGCCAAGGCACCACTTGTAGGGGACTATCTCTGTTGCTGCAGAGTCCCAAGATGAAGGCCACTGGGGGAGCCCCACATTGGTAAATGAGGGTTCACACAGGAGTGGCGGCCAGAGTTCTTGCACGCGGGTAGCTGCTGGGTGTCCTGCGTAGAAGTGGCGTCTAGGATTTCTGTTCAGGTGTGTGGCCAAAAGTTCTGCATGCATGCTGATGCCTATGGTCCTGCTTGGGCACTTGGTAGTCCAGCATGGGCAAGTAGTTGGGAGACCTACTCTGACGTTGAGGCCTGGAGCCCTGCATGGGAATGGATTGTGTTAAATAACAAAAATAACAAAAAAGTTAAATAACAAAAAAGGCTGGGAATACAAATCATGTCTCAATAATAACCCTGAATGTTAATGGCCTAAACTCACTATTCAAAAGTGACTGTGATTCCTGAGAGGGAGCAGGAATATCACTCAGAGAGAAATAGTATTCTCACTGCTTGAGTCCCAGGTCACAGAGCGGCACAGAATGCTGCCTCCCTCTGGTCTATCATCTTGGATCATCAAGAAATCCCTTCTTAATGTTGGGTGGTGGGTTGGCTCTGTCAAGTAAAACTTAGCTCTCTGTTGTTATTGCTGGGTAGCTACCTCTGTTGGTACCACACATTTTGGAATTTGGAAATTTCTAATTTCACAAAGACCATGTCTTGTGAACATATAGCCAGCGGAATCTGGGACAATACCCAGCATCAAGCATATAAGTTTAGCTATTGGAAAACATGGTAATATTCACCTTAAATAGCCTAAATAACTAGATTATAGAGTTACATTAATTACACTTTGGTTTTAATGCCAAATGGTTTATAAAAAAATTCTGATTTTCAAAAAATTTTGGATATTGGTGTTGAAGATAAGGAACTTTGGTATTGTGTGACATTGATAATCTTTCATAGTCTGCGATGCTATATTATGCTAGAAAAAAAAATCTCTAGTATTACTAAAAACTACTTCCTAACTAAGAAGAAAAAGACAAAGAGGTAAGCATGAAATAAACCCCCATCTTGCCTCACAAATTTTCTATGTATTCTTTGGTAAAGACACACAATTTCGTAAGACTTAAGGATGTGGGCAAAAAACGGAAGTGGTGGCATTCTAAAGAAGAATTCTAAAGTGGTAAAAGGTTGGATAAACAACTTGAAGAAGTCTTTGAAGGAAGACAAGATTTGGAGCAGTTGCTAGAAAAGAGTGGGAGAGGGAGCAGCCTACATATTTTAAAGAATTATTGAGCAATTCAATGAAAAAGGAATAGGCAAATGAAAGAAATTAATTACCTTTACCAAGGGCATTTAGGAGTTTTTCCTCTTTAAATTATTATCTGTACCCTCCCTCTGTAACCTCCCTCCACTGTGACAGTCCTCCAAACCACCAACTTCTGGGGCTTTCGACTCTCCAACAGTGTAAGGAATTAGGGACCAAGAACTCTGCTAAAAATAAAAAATAAAGTGCAAAAGTTTGATTAGCAAATTGAGAATATAGATTTTGGTATCAGAATCCTGGGTGAGTGAAGTATGGTGGTACACGTGTAATCCCAGTGGCTTGGGAGCCTGAGGCAGGAGAAAGTTCAAAGTCAGCCTCAGTAGTTTAGCAAGGCCCTAAGCAACTTAGTGAGACCTTGTCTTAAAAAGAAAAATAAAGAGGACTGGTAATATGGTTCAGTGGTTAAGGACCCCTGGGTTTAATCCTCAGTACTTAAAAATTTTAAAAAGAAGGAGAAAAAGAAGGAGAAGGAAGAATGGAAAAGAAAAAATGAAATAAAATCCTGGGTGATCTCTGACTTACTACATTGTAGCCACCTGGCTTCGAGCCAACCCTTCAACTTCCTTAAGTCTCTAGCTGTTCACCTATAATATGTGGACTCACTGTCTTCAACCAAATTCTTATGCAATGCCTGCTATATTTAGGCACTTGCTAGAGGATGGGGATGTTAAGATGAGTAAGAGGGCTGTAATCCCCTTAAGCCTGAGAGGGGGGAGCCAGTCATTGCACAGAAAATAAAGAAAATTACTAGTTAGTTTTAGTTGTGACAAATGCTGCAAAGGAAAAGTACCTGCAAACTTAGAGTACACTACTGTGGAACCTCTCCTAGTTCTGCAGAAAGGATGACAAAACAGCATATTCTCTGGATCTTTCTTGGGTCTCTCAGCACCTTCTGCCTTTAGTCCTCATATGCTGTTTTTTTTCTGAGACAATTCTTTATAGGGTTTTGAGGAAGTTTGATTTAATAAATTCATGTTATGCATTAAGATCAGCATGTAAAAAGTCCTTAATAAATGTTTATTTTATTAGTAGTGTTGCCAATAAAAATAATCGCAACTTATCCTTTCCATCACCAGAGCAGCACCACCAGGTTTCAACACCAACCACATTGCAAGTAGCTGCCTATTCAATTTCTTTCCTCCCTTAGTCCTTTTCATATGCCGGATGTCCTGTCCCTTTTTATTTCCTGGATTGGTTCCAGCCCTCCCTATCTCACTAATTTTAATCAAAGTAATTCATGGGCATAATTAAAAAGACAAATAGCACTGGGGGTTTATGAAACTCTAGTTCACTTTTGAGTCTGCCTCCTCCCCCTTTCAGGGGGCAAATACTTGTCAATATTTTAGCTGTTGTTTTTTCTGGAATTTACTCTTCTCTCTATTTCTATACACCACTGCTATGTTTTATTCATAAATTTTAGTCCTAATTAAATGAAGGGATAAATTCTCTTATCCCTTCATTTCTTCCCATATGCAAGTCTTTCTATGTCTTACTTCCAAAATGATTATTTTTTTGTTGTTGTTTTGGTACTGGTGATTGAACCTGGGGCATTTAACTACTCAGTCACATCCCCAGCCCTTTTTGTAAAATTTTGAGACAGTGTCTTACTAAGTTGCTTAGGGCCTTGCTAAGTTGTTGAGGTTGGTCATGAACTTGTGATCCTCCTGCCTCAGCCTCCCAAGTTGCTGGGATTATAGGCGTCTGCCACTGCACCTGGTCACGTGGATTCATTCTCTTTTTTCATTTATCTTCAAGAAAGTACTGTATGCACATAGTTAAGAAGATGAAGAGCACTAAAATATGTGATAAAACAGTTGTGTCATCCATAATCCACCTAGCTCCCTTTTTCAGAGACACGTTGACTCATTTTTTTTTTATTACAATCCAATTCATGTTTCCTCATGGTACTTATGTTCTTTAAAATTCACCATTTTTAGCTATTATCTTTTATATTCTGCTCTGGTAGATGAACACTTAGCTTTGCTACATCATTCTACCTGCATCCCATTTGCCGTCCTTCCACTATACTTTTATTTGCATTACTATGACTATGCAAATATTCAGAGGGAAGCGTTGGCTGCATATTATTTTCCTCTTTGTTTCTCCTGAAATTAATAATTGCACTGGAACCATCTCAGGGAAATGACTTTGCAAGGTATTTGCGGGGAATGGCTGAGGGAGATGTTTCAAATATTCACTGTGATTCATTCATATAATCCCTTTTAACCACATCTTTCATACCTCCCTGTAAAAATCAACTGCTTTATCTCTCTGAAAATAAATTCCCAAACTTTTACCAGAGTAGGGGAGGGACTGTGGCCTCTCTTAGTATTTAAGGCATTCTTCACAACTTGCTACTAATTTTTCTTAATTTGGTCCTCACAACTTTATGCACACTTGAGGTACCTAGTATCTAGGTTCCAGTGATACAATCTATTGGGCATTCTGAAGTGAAGATGGATGATTCTTGCCTTTCTCCACCGGCCAGTTTAGGATGTGGCTTTTAGAGGTCTGTTGAGTGAGTTAGTAACCACATTTTGCATCAAATGCAGATTCTAAAGCTATACTATGGTCCGTCCTCCTGTTTTCTATCCTTCCTTCCTTTTGTTTCTTTTTAAAAAATTAATGTTGGTTTTATAGGATTTCAAGGGATTTTCTTGTTTTTAAAAAATTAGTGTTGTTTTTTATAGGATTTTAAGGGAACAAAATAGAAGTGTGTTTTCATTCTCCCATACTTGAAAATTATTTGTCTCTCATCTTAACATGAAAGACACTTAATACTTGTTTTGAAGTGCTTGCCTTCTATCTGCCAAAATGGAAATTAGGGAGACCAGTTAGAGACTAATGCTTCAGTCAGGCAAAAAATGATATTAGTTTGGAAGATGCTGCAGATAGAGTTAAGTGACTCTGAATCCCCCTAGAGGGAATGTTCCCTCTGCATGGTGAAATGAGTTATATACTTAGATTTTTACATTGAAATGACCATGTCATATAGTGGGAGAAGAACTTAACTGACTTTTTCAGTCTGTGTTCGGAAATAAAAGACATGACATTTCTGGATTATGGAGGTTGTCTCTAGATCAACTTTGCAGCTCATTACAATCCTATTTTTTTTTAATCATGTGAAATAAGCAATAAGAAGTTTCACTAGTGTTGAGATTAAATATTTTTAAAATATGGAACATTCTTGATAATTAAAAACATTGCTAACTTGAAGAATAAAGATACAGTTCTTCATGGTCAAAGATTCGATTTTCTTATGTGGTTATCTGTTCAACAGCAAATTTCAGGAAGCACTGGAACCTAAAGTCCTTATTTTATTGATGGGTACATTAGTTATTCATTATTCAGAAATAAGCATGACAACTCTATGAGGAAACAGCATTATTTTTTTCAACTAAGGGGGCACAGTCATTTTTGAAGTACAGAGTATTTCAAATGACTTTCTTATGACTTTTTATTTTTAGTGCAGCAAGCATTAAACTAACCAATTCATTTAAAATTTTTTCTGCTTCTATATTAAAATGTGACTAACAGGTAAGCATTGTGTGGTGTATAACATGATGTTTCAGCATTGTGCAGTGATTAGAGAAAGCTAATTACATGTGCATCACGACTTCCTATAACTTCTTGATTTGCATTTTACTTCTCTAGATTTGTACTCTGCTGAAATGTGAAACCACTGACTTGCACACCTGTGGTGGTTCAGTTGACACAGCTTCCACTAGGTTTGAATCGTTCTCCCTCAGTGGCACTTTCGGAACCCAATATGTCTTCCCTGAAGTACTGCTGAGTGACGTTCAGCTTGCACCTAAAGAATTTCAGGTAACAATCTTTGCTTGATATTGCCAATTAATTTCATGTAAGAGGAAGTATTTTTTGACCTCAAAACCCCCAAGTGCCTCCAAAAACCATAAAAGTCTCCATTTGAAAAAGGTATGGTTATTTGGGGGATCACGAAGGATACTGAGTGGGCTGAATTTCTTACCTGGAAGTTCTTAATGTAATAACGGGCATCCTTGAAAATAAAGAAAGAAATCTCACTTGAGGAGTTCTAGGGAAAAAAAAACTGGACTATTTAAGCTCTGTTGATTAGGAAGAATATTCAACAAGAAGAGTACAGGACCAGTCCTACCACAGGTCCCTTTGGATCTCTGGGGACTGATGGCCTAGGGAAGTTTAAGTGAATCTTTCCAGTTGTATGGGTCAAGATCTGGTGTGACAATAGGCAGAAAGGAAAGAAAAAAGCTAAAGAAGAGAGAATTTATCAGTGGCTGATGTTGGCAAGGAAGCAAAAATTTTAAAATTTATAAAAAATTGCTTGCTTTGCCAGTGTTCTTCTCAGCCACATTATTCCACTGATGCTTCCTATAGGTTCCCGTCTCATTTCCCTTTCTAGGCAGAAACAATTTCTAGGGTGAGGGAGGACCATACAGAGGCTAGGAGACTGTGATAAGTGGCAGGGGATGATTGATGTTCATTTCAAACCTCCCATGGGTCAATCACTACTGACCATTTGCAACAATCTTTATTTTGTTGGAGAGGACTACATCTGTCTCTTACATACTACCAAATCCATTGTTTTATGTTTATTAACTCACTAATACTTCCTTGGGTAAGTTAATTTTAACAAATTGAAATAGACATTTCAATAATAAGTGAATGAGTGCCAGTTTCATAGCTTCCATTTATTTATGTTTAACAAACAACACTTCAAATATTTCTAAGGTTTCTTCTTATTTATTTATTTATTTATTTATTTATTTATGTGGTGCTTGAGATTGAACCCAGGGCCTCACACATGCTGTACACGCACTCTACCAGGGAGCTACACCCCAGGCCTTCAAATATTTCTAATGAAACAAAATTTCAGCCAGTATTTTAAAAAAATATTTCTTCATTCAGTTGTACTGTATTTGAGAAGTGTTCTGGAATTATATGACTTAAAGGTTGACCTTGTGTACTATTCTGTTTTTATTAGGTGTCAAGTGATGGACGTTTGTTTAGCTTGAAGCCAACATCTGGACCTCTGTTAACGGTCACTCTCTTTGGGAGGGTGTACGAGAAGGATATGGCATCAAATGGGTCACCTGACCTCTCAACATATTCAGTAAAGATAATGTTAGTAGTTATGATACCTATTGTGTTCTCGTTATGTTGGTAGAATATTTACATTTTCTCTCTTATTTGGGATAATTTTAAAAATAGCTTTTGCTAACAGTGGCCTCTGGTGTAAGTAAATGACTAATATTTCTCTTTATTTAGACAAACACACACAGCAGATTATGTAAGATTAATATAATATCTATTAATATCTACCTATAAAATTTGTCTGTATTTAAATTTTGGTCTTTCTAGGAACTGGATTGTTTGTGCCAAATGAATATCATGAATGTTTTATGCAAGAGAAATAAAAATTATGGTTAAAAAACATAACAAGGGCTGGGGTTATAGCTCAGTGATAGAGCACTTGCCTAGCATGTGTGCGGCACTGGGTTCCATTCTCAGTACCACATATAAATAAAGGTCCATTGGCAACTAAAAAAAATATTTAAAAAAACAAACCTACAATAAAACCATTACAAAATACACTTACAAGAAGTTTGAATCTCTTGTCACTTCTATTATAACATATCTCTTACTCAGTTCTGCTTAAGATTTTCAATGGTTTTATTTGTTTGCTGTGTTTATTATTTACATCCACATCAAATTTCAATTCTCTTATGGGCTAAATATGTCACCAAAAACTCATAAATTGAAGTCATTAACACCTCATATCTGAGAATGTGATTGTATTTGTAAATATGGTCTTAAAAGAGGTAAAATGAGATCATTAAGGTGGACTCCAATCCAATATGACTCGTTTTCATATTAGAAGAGTCAGTAAGGACACAGACATGCACAGGTGAAGACTGTGAACACCTGAAAGCCAAGGAGAGCGTTAGGAGAAACCAAACCTAACAACACATTGATCTTCAACTTCTAAGCCACAGAGTCATAAGAAAATAAATTTCTGTTGCTTAAATCACCCAGTCTGTGGTACTTTGTTGTGGCAGCCCTACCACAATAATACATCCCATCCTCCCTCTCTGCCTGTCCCCCACCATATGGTGCAAAATGGTGGGACGTAGGGGCAGAAAAGAAAGGCAGATAGGGCTTTGCATTACTTTGCTTGGGACACTGATCAAGGGACCTGCCTCCTCTCCAAACAGAGGGGAATGTGAGCTTTATTGATTTGATTTGCCTTAGTGGGCTAAAGCCTGGGCATTTTTCCATTAGTCAGAGGCATGGTTCCAAGAGACGTTTCTTCTTTTGTGAGACTCAGACCACTGGGTGTGACAGGATTCAGATGTGAGCAGTGGAAACACGAAGGTAGTGGGATATTTCTATAAACTGGCTACTGTGCCTACCCCGACATGCTTTCTTTTAAGAAACAACTTACCTGCAGCCCTGTCTGGCTTACATCAATAGAATGTTATATTCCTTTAATAACAACCTATTATCTGCTGAAGAAATGCAGGCCAGAAATGGCAATAAGAACAACAGAAATTATCTTTGGGAGATATTTGTGACCCTTACAAAGACCAGGTTCCAGAATGCCAGGAGACAAGGATAATTCTTCTAATCATAAAATCTGTCAGAACAGGTTTCAATTAGAACTGGTCAGCATGGGACAAAATGACCTAGAGTTCCATCAGACATTTACTGTGTACAGCAGAGACTTGGAAGTCTAATGCAATCCTGTTGTCAGTTAAAAGTCAAGAGATGGACCTGGGCAGGATTCTCTGGAAACTTCCCTGGGACCCCCAATAAAACTAGAGGGCAGAAGGGGCATGCTTTCATTATGGTTTAGATATTAGGTGCTCCCCTAAAGTTCATATGTGAGACAATGCAGAAAGTTTAGATGTGAAATGATTGGGTTATGAGAGTCTTAACTTAATCAGTGTGTTAATCCCTTGGTAGGAATTAACTGGGTGGTTACTGTAGGCAGTTAGGGAGTGGCTAAAGGAGGGGGGTCCATTAGGGCATGCCTTTGTGGTTTATATTTTTTTTTCATGGTGAGGGGAGCTCACTCTCTCTCTTTCTTCTTCCTAGTGTGACATTCTGAAACAATTTTCTCTGCCACACTGTTCTGCCATGATGTTCTACTTCACCTCAGGCCCAGAGCAATGGAGTTGGCCTTCTATGAACTGAGACCTCTTCTGTGTGCCCCCAAATAAGCTTTTTTTTTTTTCTCTTCTAAAACTATTCTTTTAGTCACAGTAGGAAAAAAAACCCGCACAAACAAACAAACCAAAAAGCTGACTAAAACATCATACTTCTTGTCTCTGAGAGGACCGACAATGTCCCTTGAGTGTGTCCCCATTTTCCCATTTCCTATCCCTTCTAATAAACTTTGCTCCTCTTTTACTCAGTCTTGTGTCTTTCCTGAAATCCTTTCAAGCAAGAACGTAAGAATCCAGGGTAGGAATCACCATGGCTGCCTCACTCTGACTCCTTGGGTTCCTTCAGCTCCTCAGGTTCCTCCATGGGTCCACTCACAGCAGGCAGTCAGTCAACTTGTCCGGAGAATTTCTCAGTTACTTTGCCATCATCCTGGGCAAACATCCTGGCATTGTGGCTGGATATGGGTCTTATAATGGGGCTGAAAAACTTTGAGTGCTTGGGCTGATATATCTACTAAAAAATCCCACAAAGCTGGGGTAGTAAAAACCATAGCAGCCCCCAAGAGCAATCAACATATCCACATGACAAGCCAAGTAGAATCTGATCAAAAAGTGATGGCACCAAAGGGAACAAACTTCACATGAAGACAGGCCAAACGTTTTCATCCCGTTTGAGTTGCCCATCAAACATCTGCAGGCCCAAAGGAAGAGTCTGTGTTTTTCAGCAAATGTGGCCTTCAATTCCTTGAGACATAACCTCCACCACCATTATTATGAAAACACACGCATCACAGGTGCTATCTGTGTATGGAAGGAGAAGAAAATCCATGAGAGTGCTCCAAAATCCAATAAAAACAGCATTTTTTAAAATCTAAAAGACAGAGCTTCTTAAAATGGCAATGCAAAAGACCACCTGCTTACTAATACATGCACACGTAAGTATGTCCACACCCTGATGACCATACACCTGCCAAAGCACAAGTGGGGACTGTCGTGATTTAGATCTGAAATGTCCCACAAAGGCACATGTGTTGAAGCTTTGCTCCCCAATGCAGTAGTGCTCATAGGTAGACTTTGGGGGACTGATTGTATCTCGAGGACTCTGGCTTCATCTGTGGATTCGTCCTTTAATAGCTGAATAGATCACTGGGAGAGGGCAAAAGCTGCAGGCAGTGGGGCATGGTTGGAGAAAGTAGGTCACTGTGGATGTGCCTTTGAGAACTATATCATGTAAGAGGTCCTCCCTCTCACACCCCTGCCCGCTTCCTGGCTGCAATGAATTAAGCAGCTTTGCTCTGCCATACCTTTTCACCATGATATTTTGCCTCACCACAAGACCAAAGCCAGCCAACCATGGACTGAGTCTCAGAAACTGTGAGCCAAAATAAATCTTTCCTCCTTTAAGTCATTCTTGGTATTTTGATCACAACAATAAAAAGCTAACCAACATAGGAACCCAAACTTGGACACGGATGGAGATTAAGATAGGCCAGCTGTGTTTATACTTCTAGAAAAATGCTTATGACAAAAAGGTTTGTTTGGGTGTGGTGCTGATAGGAAACAAACCGTGGATCACTTCAAAGGCCAACTCTCAGAAATGCCATCTGACTGGAAGATGTGCCTGTCGTGTGTACACAGAAGGATGAGTTCTCTTGCTCAACAAGTGAGGTAATCTCACTTCTTCCAGCCTCCTGCAACTTGGGAGCACCTGACCATTGTATTGTCTCTTCAACACTTGGGACAAGTAAAATTTTAAACATTAAAGTTAAACATTTCCTGAGCATGAGTGCTGGAGAGCAAGATCTCTCTGGTCTGACTCTTACCCCACAGGGACATGAATGCTCTCAGATCAATGGAATCCTGCAGCTGGTGGTTTGCTAACAACACTGACCTAGACTGATGAAGTTCTGATTGCAGTTTTGAGACAGGACACTGGGGTGGATGGAAGTCAGGTGGTGGGACCAGTACAGAAAGGCCAACTGAGCAGTTGAATGCCTCTTGGAAATGTGGGGGCCATGATCACAATGACACCATTTACACATTCTGGAATTTTGTGCCATAAGGTGGGGTGCAAGAATGCTGACTGGAGAGTCATTGGCTGTGGCTCTTCATCCAGCCTTTTGTCATTTTCTTTATTATTTACAAATGTACTTCTCTGATGATGGAAGAGCTTCAGAGATTCTGCAACAGAGACTTAGGAAGGCAGTGGAGAGTAGGAGAGGGATGAATGTGGACTCCAGGCTAGGATATTTTCTTCATTTCAATTCACTCTGGGTTTCTGGAAAAAAATTTTTGTATCTCTATAAATACACTGGTATAAAAATTAAGAGTAAAATCACAGAAGTTTCAGATCGTAAGAATAGCCTGCCCTTGGAGAAGATTCCAAAGTGCCTGTGTCTACTGTCTGGAGTGAAGGGTGCTCCTTCTTGCCTTGAACTCATGATTCTGCAAAATACTCAAAATTACAAAAAAAGGAGAAAAACAAACAATTATAAACTAAAAAACACCCCTGCAGGATTCTATAGCCTATTCATCCTAATATCCTGAAGCCAGAGCATATTTATCTCCTCATATCCTCAAAGTATAGTCACTATTTCCTGTGCTTGATAGACCCCAGCATTCTGCTCAGTGCATGTCTTAGGTGTGTCGTGGCCCTGGCAAGAATTAATGCATTTTTAAATAATATTTCAAGTGCATTCTATTATTTTTGAGGTATAAAAATAATAAAAAGCATTTTCAAGTACATGCTAAAGTCATGCATTTCCTCAAAAAAAAACCCAACCTGCCCTTAAGTAAGCACTATTTTATTTATTTTATAGCAATAACACTGAAGCATAGGGAAGTTGAGTAATATATTCAAGGTTAACAAATAATAAATAGTTGAACTTGGATAAAATGCCAAGCTTCTTCTACTTCATATGTATATACTCTTTCACTGGGCCATACTTTCTCTTTAGAATGTGTATTGTTTAGCATAAAGTAGGTTATGGTGCTATAACAAATAATACCAAAACTCTCAAAGCTTAATACAACAAAAGTGTTTTCCTTATGTGAAGTTATTTCCAGGGAAATTTGCCACTGGGTCATAGTTCAGGATCACAGGCTTTTTTTCATATTATATAACCTCCTTATCAACATTTGCTTCCAAAGTGAGGATATATATAGCACAGTGGTAGAGTTCATGTTCAGCATGTAGAAGATTCTGGGTTTAATCCCCAGCAACACAAAAACAAAAACAGACAAAAAACAAACAAACAAAGAAACAAAAAAACTGTGCTTTCACAATTTCTTGAGCATGAGAAAAGAATATGGTGAAATTGTACATTCCCTCCTGAATCCTATCAGACAGAATGATACATACCTTTTCCATTCATATTTCTTTGGCTAATGCAGGTCATACGATCATGCCAAATTCAACTGGGGTAGGAAGTATAATTCCATTGTAGATCTAGGAAAGGGAAGAGATTAATAAATGCTTTGAGTGCTAGAAATATCTATCACCGAATGTGACTTTCTCAAAGATATATATCTTGCATTCTTCTTCAAATCCAGCTTGCAGAAATTACTTTACAAATGTTAAATGTCTTCCGTGAGTTGCCCTTATTTTCCACCTGTAATAACATTGTACTTCTTACCTTCTGATTCATTATTTTGTTGTCAGCCTCAAGTACACGTCAATTGTAATCTCCTTTTTCTTCAAGGAGAAGGTTAAGGTCAGGGTTTTCCATTCCCTTCCCTTTCCATGGACCTGAAGGTTATTTTACTTATATCTGCTTGTTGAGAGGATATAAAGGTATCATTGACATTTTTCTGTAAATACTTCATAGTTTACTAGACATTTGTACATACTTTTATTTTAATT